GGTGCAGAACGGCAAAGCTCGGGGTTGTGATGGCTGGGCTCTCGCTGCGGAGAAGGTCTTTCCCCGCAGATGAATCGCGGGACCACCGCTGCCTTCCAGCCACAGCAGGGCGGTGTTCCCCCCCCTGCCGCAGAAACACGAGCCACCCCACTCCACAGACCGGTCTGCGCCAACTCCCACAGCAGGACACTTCTCTAGTGTGTGTTCGTGAAAGACCGCATTGTTCCAGGTGTGTGTGTGTGTGGACAGAGGGAGAAGACTGTCATTTAAAACCCTTGGAAACCAGTTTCCAGACTCCTGCAGTCTGCAGGCTCCTAATCTCTGCAGGCGGAAAGCACAGTGCATTAAGGTGCAGAGGAATAGCATGTTCTCCTTTCGTAACCTGCAGCTGGCTCCTGGGCTTTGCCTGGCTCTCAAAAGACTCGCATTCAAGTTGCATCTAATGTTCAGCAAGTTGATTAACATTAATCTCAAAATGCCCAATGTGAAAGCATACCCACTAAACTGTCTAAGGATGTCTACCCCCAGATGGGAACTGTACGCACTCAAGGACATCTGGAGTTCTGTTTGTAACTGTGCACCGCCTTTTTTACCCCTCTTGCAGACTGACCCTTGCACTAGAAGAACGCAGGATCCTTTTACAAGATTCACTTTATGATAAAACTGTTACAGTGTTTTTGAGAAGAATAAAACGAGTAATAAATATCGACTGAGTCAAGGCTGTGTTTTGATTCCACCCCCCCCCCCCAGTTCTTACCTGCTAAGTAAACTGAAATTCCCAGGCAGAAAAGGCCAATGGCCACGTGACGGACAGGCCGGCTGTCCAATAGGAACCAGTCTGCCCTGTGGGAGGTGGGACATGAGAGAAGGACCATTATAATGCTGACTGGCTAGCCAAGCACATCCACACTGAATCCCTTTGGGTCATTGTGCTCTCAAACCATGACTTTAGTGATGCAACAACAACAGTACAGTTTAGAAATATGCGCAGTAAACCAAAGAATGAGGGTTCCAACCTGGGGACCCCTATAGCTGTGGATATTTGTCCCAGCCGAACTCTAACCTTAAGCCTTTAACTGAACAAGCAAGCTGCCTGACTAGAACTTTTGCAAGTGTTTCTTACTGTTGAAAAGGTGGGGGTTGTGGGGGGTGGGGATGCAAAGTTACTTAGCAAACACAAAGGTTAAAAGGCTGCTTCCCCAGTGCGGAAGACCTGAAACCCAAGCTGAGTGCTGGTGAGGCTGTAGGGATGTGATAGAACTCAGCGTGGGAAAATGCAGCAGGCGTGTCTGTTGGTGTTGGAGGGGGGTGTCCACAGGTGCAGGACTGCACCCCTGCCTTCACACTGTTACAACCCCCCAGCTGGAGCGGAGACCCCAAGTTATGAGGACACTCACAGGTGTTTTAGGGCCAGGCAGGTACTGAACTAATAACACCTGCAATTCCCAGCTGGCAGCCCCACTGAGGCTCTGCAGTGTGAGCCTGGCCAGTACCTGGATGGGAGACTGCTGGGAAAGCTGGGGCTGCTGTGGGTAGAGGTGTTAGTGGGACCAGTAGGGGGCGCTCACCCTGCAGTCTGTGTGGGTCCTAATGCCCCAGTATAGTGACGAGGACTCTATTCTGTAAAAAAAAGTTGTTTTCTTTTTATTGGGCGTTAAACTTGGGTTCTTGCTTTTTTTTGTTCTTTAAAATTTCCGGGTTTTTTTTGGAAAGGTTTGGGGTTTTTCCCCGGTTTTCTTGCCAAATTTCCCCCCTGGACTTTACCCATCATGGCCTCCTAATAATCCCCCTCTCTGAACTGGCTTCATCACTCTGCTCTCCTCCCCACTGAGAGCTGGTGTGTGGGGAGTGGACTGGTGCATCATCCAGGTGGGGGTGCACACTGGTGGTGGTGGAGGGGATCCCCATGACCTGTAAAGCGCTCTGAGTGGAGGGTCCAGAAAAGCGCTATTAAGTGTGAGGAATGTGTTTATTTCACACACAATAAAGGTGCATTGAAGACAAACTACTGCTATCAGTCTGCTGGGGTTTGTTTCTTGTTACTGATAATCCTCTTTTTATTACCACAAATCCTAACAGGATATCGGCGGACTTCACCGTAAACCGTGTAACGGCAGGGTGTCGATTTCTTAAGCTGAAGGAGAGGTTTGGTTTTGGGTGAAACTGATTCCGGCCTTTTACGTATGCAAGACGAATGAAGAATTCGCACGAATGTAGGATTCGTATCCCGGTGAGACTGTTGAAAGAGTAACAGGAAGTCTTGACGATAATCTTTTTCTTTAAAAAAAAAAAGGTTTGTGATTATCAGAGCCAGCAGCATACGGTATAAGCATCCCCATTGCTGTAAATAGCAACTGGAAACAAAGAGTATTTATTGTTCCGTGCAGCGGAGTGTTTGCCGAGGAAGGCAGGCGGGGGTTGTGCATGAATTAAGTGACAAAGCGACGCGGGGGGGGGGAAGGCAACTGGGTTCCTGTGAACGCGCTGCTCGGGAGACGGTTCAGTAATTCCGTGTGACACCAGCGACGTGGGAACGGGGCCAGGCGACGTGAGCGGAGAGCGCAATGAGGGGCGCCATTGTCCCGGCGAGGCGCGGAGACTGGAGGGGCTCGTGGATGCCAGTTCTTGGCCTCCGCTGTCAACAGCGGCGTCCACGGATTCGGCGTCACTAGCGCGATTTTTTTATTTTTATTTTTAAAAGCTGTAAATAAATCCAGACAAAAAGTTCCAAGTCACGGTTTCGCCACACACGTAGTCGGTAAAACAGAAAGCATGCGGCTGGTATGTTACTGCTTATGAAAAGGCGAAATTAGACACCTTTTTTTTTGTAAGAACTGGCCATGGTCTCAAGTCTGGAGAAAGTTAAGTATAAAAGTCAATAAAAGGGCCTACAGATAACGTGTAATAGTAGATCAGTGCTTTCTATATCATCTCCCGATTTGTTTTGAAAGCACTTCTCAAGTTTGAAAGTTTGCTGGGTTTTTTTTCCTCCAAACATTGCCGGATTCTGTCAAAATAAACATTTTGGTTTACTTTTACTGCCGTAATGCGACTACAGTTTTTGCTTCTGTTTTTTTTTTTCCAATGGCTAGGGAAAATAACAGCGCTACACACGGAACTGTAACTGAATGTTCAATTAGTATAGTAGGGGTGTGCGTTGATCACCGGGGACAAGCACGATACAGTACGATGCTCCCACATCGTAGAGAGCAGACAGTGCGTTACAAAACGGCGCATAATTTAAATATCACACAACACTTGCAGGCAAAAGCACAGAAGCACAAGCGTTTTGTCGGTATTTTATCACTAGCGGTATTTACCGCTGACCAGATCAGGCTGGGACAAGAGCAATACCTGTGAACTCGGCTCCCTCACGCTGCTCTCGGGTGAACCCGCTGCGCACCGAGCCGAGCGACGCCCGGGTTACCCACCTGTCCGTGTCGTCCTCGCCGCCGCAGATCTCGGCGGTGAAGTAGCTGTGCAAGAGGCAGACCACCACAGAGCTGAGGCTGAGGGTGAGGGCGAGGGCCGTGAGCACCGTGGACACGGGCCGCAGGACGGCGGACACCTCGGCTGGGATGCCGGAGAGGCGCGGGGGGGTGTCCGCGGTCCCGGCTTGGCTGCCCTGGAGCTGGAAAATCAGAATGACGGACAGAACGGACATAATAGCCGACAGGATTCCCAGAAGGGCCAGAACCGTCAAAGAGCGTTGGCTGTACTGAGAGGACATTGTGGAATTTGGTTGCATGTAAAAAAAAAAGTTTCTGCCAAAGAGACTACGTGCTCAAAATAAGTTCTTTTTCAGCTGCGCCGTTAAACTCCTCTCGCCTGGTGTTTTTTTTCATCCCGCCTCTCCTTCTTATGCTAAACTCCTCTGCGCCTAGTAATCGTGAAAGGTGTAAACGGCTCCCGTTTCCGCTTGATTATTAAGTTTTAAAGTCTCTCCATCAGTCCTGCGGGCGCGCACGCAGACACACACACACACACGAGGGTGAGGCGGACACCCACAGCGCGCGGCGGCTAATCAGGTCGCCGAGGAAGGAGTCCCGAGCGCGCGGGGGTTGCTCAGTCCGAGCATGTGATGCGGGTTAAATCCCAGATTTAAAAAAAAAACACTTGAGGAATTTCACAATGAGGTCCACCAAAAAAAAAATACCCATAACGTTTACGCTTGCTTAACAATGTAAAATGCACATTGTACAAATGTAAAAGCGTAAAAGGATCACCTGAAGACGTGAGAGATTTGTTCTGAACTATACTGTGTGTTTGTGAAAAGAAAACACAGAAAAAAAACAAACAAAATCCAATATACGGGCGTTCAACAGAGCTAGTAACACAGGAAACTAAAGCCGTGATGTAAACTTTGTGCTGATGAATTCCATTGGCTTTAAACCAGCGTGGACATTTTAAATGCAATACCGTTTTCTACACGTGCACAGACATTGTTAGGTCTGGTAAAAACACCACAGCTGCCTGAGAATATGGGAGCATTCAGCGCTGGAAATCCGTACAGTATGTAACACACAATAATTACACGCGTTTATTTTAGTTGAACAATTGATGTGGGATTAATATCGGAAGAGCAAATTAACATTTTTTTTTAAATCATGATAAGTAACTCTTGACTTTTGCCCACGGTTTTGGGTGTCCCGGTTTGTAGAGTCTGTCGGGCTTCTCCAGATTCAACCCTCTCCGTCTATTAAATCTTATTCCGTTTTTTTTTCCTTTTTAATCCCAGCGTTGCCTAGGAAACGCGGCCTATTTCAGACCCGTGTGCTCTGTGGGAAGAGGAGTCGACGGCTGAGCTGAAAGTTTGAAATCAGAGAATAAGAACATAATTCCCTTACCCGTAACTTTCACGCAGATATCGTGGGACAGCCATGTATATGCGTAGACTATATGCGTATTTTCTTACTAAGGAGGTGAAGTGCAGTTCGAGGCTATCGAACAAATCAGATTTTCTTGTTTGAATTGTTTTGGTCATATTTACACAGGCAAGGAGAACTTTTAAAGGGGATTTTTATGAGAACAGTTTTCCTTTCCCCCTGTATTTTGTGCTGTGCGCCCCTTGACAATGGTCCAGACGAATTAACGTCGATTCTGCCTAAAAAAGAGAGATAACAGACCTACTTTGTTGCCCGAGCTGCCCAGATTGCCTATGGATTAAACAGAATGTCTCTCTAGATTTTACAGTCACCGATAAACGAGAAAATAAAATTGTCACGTGTGCATTACTACCTTTTTATTTTATCGATGAATTGGTTGATTATATATACTATATATGAATTAGGACAGATCAGTCCTCACAGATCTTACGTTCTTAGATCCTGTAAGACATCCTACAAGTAGCGTTTGAAGCTATTTAAAAGTATTAGTAACTGTCATCAAATGCAAGGTTTAATGTGATATCTGTAATTGTATTACCTATATTATAATTTCCTATTACATTAACGCATCAGCCAAATAGATCACTGATCTGAGCTCAAAAGCACCTCTGTCGAGTTTTTATTTCCTCGCATTGACTAGCTTGGATTTCAGAAGAGATTCAGATACCGCTGACGCATCTCAAACCCACCGTCCGCGCGCACCTGCGCGTCATCTTGCGCTTGTGAACTCTGACCTCCTCTCACTTTCCCAAACTAGGTTCAGAACCCCGGGAGTCCCCTGTTTTCTTTTCAGGCGCTCAAAGGCTGTGGAATGATCTCCCAGCCTCTATTACAGCCTCCCGTTTTCCAAACTGGTTTATCCAATCCAGCGTCACGACGGAACCGGAGCCTATCCTAGCCAGAAACGCGGTCGATCCGTGTCGAACCGACACCAACACGGACACGCACACACCCACAGCAGGGGCAGGTCTCCCAGAGGTCAACTGTGGGATTAGACCGGAGCACCTGGAGGAAACCCACGCGAACACAGGGAGAACATACAAACTCCACACATACAGCACCCCAGAAATTGAATTGTGTTAGATGTTTGTGTAGTAATGTGTTTGTAATACTTTTAATTTAGATTTTTTTGTAAAGATTATATGCTGTCTAATGAAAGGCGCTATTTGAAATGAAGACTGTGTTCCCTATGCCTGACAAAAATTCGCCTCGAACTCGTCACAAATTCCTTTACATTTGGCTAAGTTTACGAAAATAACGTCATAATATTTTTGAAGTGTTTAAGATTTATTATACTGCAGAGCGTGTGCACTGTACGGCGCACGTCACTGAAACCCGGACAGTATTATCGATCCCTTTCCTTGAGTACCGAACAGGAAATAATAAAATGCATTTTTTTTTGTGAACGCAAGGGGGCGAAGAAATCCTAGACATAGCCATAGGTAAAACAAATTATCAGAAGGATACGGTATTTCTGGGGCTCTGAGGTGGGCTTTGACGGATTTGTTCAGATTATCCATGTTTTTGATCTTATGTCTCTCAAAGATTCAGGATCATCAAAGAGCCCTGATTATGACTTGCTAAAATTTCCTGCAGCGAAAGAGAGGGACAGCTGTGGCCTCATGAGTTAGGTAAGTTAGGGGAGAGAAGTGTACAGGCTGTTAACACAGATATGCCTGGATGCCCAGTCCAAACTCGAACCCTAACTAGAAAACCTTTGGAAAGACATACAGCTCCCATCCTCAACAGTGAAACCTGAACAGGCGCACACAAATAGGTACTAAGGGGAAGTTCTTTCAAAACTGAGAAAATGAGGCATGTCTTTACACAAGGGGTTGTGGGAGCATGGAACAAGCAATGCCTTGTTCAAGTTATGCATTGCTGGGTTCGTTCACCGGGTTGTTTTTTGGTTCCCTTCTTTTGTTTTCTTTCGGGAACCGGCGGGCGGGGTTCTTCGGTTTATTTGGTTGTTATCTTTTTACCGGCCGGGTTGGGCGGGGGGGCTTGTTTTTTTTTGCAATTTTCTTTTTTTCTTGAGGCCGGGTTGGGGGTTACAGCTGTGCTGGAGCTCATCACAGAAATAAAAAGCAGCTCTGTGCGGGCAGGAATGGGGTCATTATTCACAGCCCCAAAGGAGACCACCACACTGGTCAGTAGGCCCAGGCAGGTTAGTTCCTGGTGGCCACAGACCACTGCCCTGAGAGCCACAGTCGCACTTCGAAAAGGAGAGGAAGCTGTGACCGCAGCAGTCTTGGGGTCAGAGCATCAGGAAGAAGTGCAGAGGATATACAGAGGGCAGTGTTCTAACACCCTTCCCTCCACCCCAGCTTCACCACGATCTCCGCCCAGCCCTGGCATTTCCTCAGCCAGGCGAGTTTGAGCATTAAGCGCCCAATCAATCGCTTCACATTCTTGGGTTCGTTTCGTCATCATCCGAAGCTGCCCGCGCGAGCGGACTCGATGTTAGAGAACAGGAAGGAAGCAGACCCCAGGCTGCCCACTCGTGGGGGCCAAGTGTGACACGCGGCAGGTAGCTGCAGCACCCCGGCCACAACCCATGTCCAGCTGAAGCGACTCACTGCCCCTGCCTGGTGGCCACAGGGGCAGGAAAGGGCAGAAGGCTGGGCTACCTGCATTCCACCCCACCCCGCTCGCTGGACGCTCACACAGAACACGCAACCCTAACATCTCGTGCTGTAGCTCATTTGCAAGGGCTAGAACAGCGTGTCTCCTGTCCTGTAGGCATGGCAGGGCATGATGATGTCAACTATGATGACGATGATGTCGATTGTGTTGATGGTGTGTATTGTGATGATGATGATTGTGATGATGATGATGATGATTGTGATGATGGTGTGGATTGTGATGATGATGATGATGTGTGTTGATGACTGTGATGACGGTGTGGATTGTGATGATGATGGTGATCAAGATTAGAAAGAAGAAGCACCCCTTACATCCTGAGTTCTGACAGCGTAGATGTGATCTACTGTTGCTGTCATTCTGTGAACCTCCACAGCACAGTGCCTGAGGCTGTATCCGCCTGCAAAGCTCTCTCGGGTGATGCTGAATGGGAAAGGGTGCTGTATTAAACCAAAAATGAAAAAATGACTTCTTGAGAGCGTGTTGATTGTCTGCAGCCAAGTCACATGGAAACGTTTGTGTTGCAGAAATGAGCTGATGCATCATAATAAAGTACATGATGCATTCACCCACTGCAGTGACCTAACTAGGCTGGGCTATGCAGTGTTAATGGGCACATACTGTATATAAGTAATAAAATGCAACATTATGCACACTTTTCTCTTAATTTCTGGCAAATGCTAGCAGTTAGTTTTTTGTGTATCCCATTAATATTCTCAAAAAATAAAGCTGAAAAATAGTGAAATGTGAGCAACCTGGCTTGACTCTAGAGTTGCAGAGCTAGTGTATATTCACCTGGAGAACAAGAGAGCTTTGTCTTCAGGGTTGCAGTCATACTGGTAGTAGTGGTGCCCTGGAGGGAGATGGACCAGTTGAATTGGAGGAGTAAATCCCGGGCTCGAACCCGAGCATGCCAGCGAGGAGGACGAGGAAGCCACAGAGGTCCTGGTGACCTGATACAGATGGGGCAGGGTGCTGGGGGAGTTAAGGGTCGGTCTGAGAAACACTGCTGCTCTGAAGGAGATAAGGCCGTGGCTAAAAACGAATACACAACGCTGAACCACACTCACACATGTACACTGACCAGGCAGGCTATTTCTGACAGCCGCGGCTTCACCACACACACCGAAATGGTAGCTACCGATACAGCCAAAAGCAGAAGTGAGCAGTTTCAGGAAAACAAAAAAGAAGTCTAAATTTGTGCTGCTTCCAAAAGGTTCCTTCCTCTCACACAACAGGGTACTTGAGAGCTGCAAAAAATACACACCAATATTTACTTTTATTTCGTACATCGCTTTGTGTTCGTGCCCAGTTGTAACCCACTGCCTGTCCACGAGGTGAGAAAAACATGCTTTCTGTTTCTTATCTAGACTGGGGCTGGAGTTATACTGACCTCCCATTCATGTCCTCGCTACTGAATGAATGAATGAGTGAATGAATGCTCATGGTCCCAGCCCGTCTGTCCCTGCACTGTGATTTGGTTATCTATTCCACGCCCTGAGAGTTTGTCTAGGTCAAAAAAAGCATCTTTGGGTATCACAATCTCTTTGCCACAGCTAAGCAATAATAATAAAAAAAGATCTGCTTGCTTTGTTACCACGTTACCCGAGTCCTTCACTTCAGCCTTAAAGCTGAAGCTAACTGCTGTGGAGTTGGTTATATTTAGACCACAGCCTGGTGGCAGCTCAGGAGCTCTGTCTTCTGAACACACACGACTGCTTGACCTGAAGCAGATGAGGCATTGCTCTCTTCTGCTTAATTTGTGCACTTGGACGTTTTGCTCAGGGTTTAAGCTTTAGGCAATTTGAAGCCTCCCTGATTGAGGCCCCTAGGGGCTGGACAAGAGCGAAACCATACTAGATACCAGTGGGTTCAAACTGAAAGTCCCAGATTTCTCTGGCTCCTGTCTCCCCGATGCCTCCTCTGTCAGGGTGGCAGATCTCTAAGGCAGAGGCAGCCTGGTGATGAAATGCACTGCTCAGCTACGGCCTCCAGTCTGCTTGCCTATTCTCTGCAGGATTGGGCGAGAGCAGTTGCGGCGCTACCCTGCTGCTCTACAGAGGAATACAGCAGCGTGATGGAGGAGTTTGCAGCTCTGCGGCCGGGTGTTGCGGACTGTTGCATCAGATGAAACGCTGCTGAAGGAGACCGAGCACAGCTAAGCTGCGTGCACACGGCAAGGTGCGCGTGTCTGTCAGTGCGCGGGCGTGTGTGTGCATGCAGTGAGATTGCACACTTGATTTATCCTTTATTTCCATATGAGTGAACAGCCTCAAGTGGCTCCACTTACTACACCAGGTGTAGAAATAATTGCCGTGCCGGAAACTGCAGGTCTGCACAGCTTCACCTCCAGTCAGCCACTGGTCCCCTACAGATTGGAATCCTTGGCTTGTGCCGCTTCATAAGTGACAAAAGACAACGAAATAAGCATGACGTACTTGGGACAGGGAAAGGGCCATCTTCACCACTGGTTCAATGAGTCTTTATCACTTTCAGTCATCTGCCATCTCTCGTTCTCAGTCTCTTGTTCTCTTCCTATTATTAGATTGTGTTTCAACAGAGAAATCACCCTCCCACAGCTCACCACACCTCCCAGTTTTAGTACTGATGGCTATTTTCAGTCAGTAGCCAACTCAGAGCTTGGTGTGACGCCTTTGGCTGCTGTTTGGCTGCCGCTCGAGCAGTGCCTGATGAGAAGACAGGTAATGTGAGAATGGGAACAGGTGAGCCCGTGCACACTCTCCGCCATCGGCCATCTCCCTTGCAGATGCACCAGGGAGCAAGCAGTAGCCATGGGAGACGTGCTTCCTTGCTCCTCCTCCTTCTACAGCCCCACCGTGTTGCCGATGCAAACTCCCGCCCCTCTCGTCCACCCGCCTGAATTAGACACAACATCATGCAGAAGAATGTCATTCATTCATCTCTCCATCCATCCACTTTCTAACCACGACACCCGATCCAGGGTTGCAGGAGAGCTGTAGCCTGTCCCAGCACGCAATGGGCGCAAGGCAGGGTACACCATGGGCAGGACACAAACACAGACACACTCACACCAGGGCCGGCTTTCCCAAAAGCCATTTAACCTACCAGCATGTCTCTGGACTGTGGAAACCTACGTGAACACAGATAGAACATACCAACTCCACACAGACAGCAGCCCAGGTCTGGAATTGAACCCAGATGCAGAATGCTAACCGCTGCGCCACTGTGCTGCCCTCACCATCAAATTCAAGTCTGTTATCATTCTGATAACACTACAAATTGAATTAAAATGCTTAAAATCGTGATTGCTGGGCAACAGATCCATAAGCGTTATCAGAGGTTTTCCAAGCAGGTAAAAGAGGCTGAAATGTTTCCTTTCCCACGATCCCCTAGAGGCGCTAAATTTTAAGACCTTTCCAATGCATGCTGGTAAATCCTGGCCTGAAACTTATCCACACCCTCTGCTCAGTCACCAGCAGCTTCTGCAGCAGTATTAGCACAGCTGACTGCTTGCTCATTTCACTGGGCTGTCTTGTAGTGGGTCCAGCTTGGCCATACAGTGAACAGCTGAGCCTTCTTTTTTACAGACAGCTTTGCTCTGTGTAGGGCTGTGCAGAATTAGGATTAATACTGGAGCACCTGCCTTTCTGTGTGGAGTCTGCATGTCCCCCCACTGCGTGTGAAGGGTTTTCTCCAGACTCACGGCTCTCATGCAGAACCATGTGCACGCCAGGTTTGAGGGGGATTGAGCTGGAAACTGGCTGGTAGATAAAAACTAAGCAAAAGCTTGTGTCTCCTACTTCGTCACAAATATAAAAAATAGTGCGTTGCCCCTCTCACATAAATTGAATTAAAAAACAACTAGGATTCCCCGATGGGAGCAACAGGCAGTAAAATCCCAGTGAATGCATGAAAGCATATTTCGATAACCCACAGCTGAGCTGATGCACACACTAAACATGGCAATACAATGGGAAAACTTGAAAACTACACTGTAGTTTGACAACGGTAGACCTTCCTAAGTGGCGTTATGGAGGTCAGCCTCATTTCAGCAAACGATGGGCAGGTCAGTAGACAGAATCTCTATATCTGTCAGTGTTGTACTTTCACTGAGCACAGTAACCCACCCATCGGTCCGGCATTAATTAGGCTAAGCCTGTGTTCACTGCAGGCCACCAGACACGTTCTAAAATCAACCTTTTGCAGGAGGGAGCCATTTGCAAAACCTTTGACATTTCAGTGCCTTGTTTTTTTTTTTTGGTCTATAAATAAAACAAGGCTCGAATTTGAAATAAAAGAGCTTCCCCTTTAACAAGAACACAAGATCTGCGCTTTTGACTACTTACGCGAAAAAAGGACAATCTGATTGTTAAATTTAGCTTGCCATTACTTGACTACGCAACGCTACAGGTCTTCCTGGACCTAAAGCTGTGCTCAAAATATCTCGCTGAACTTTCTGTGTGTCGGTCTGAGACGTGACAGTTGTAACTAACCCGTCTTTTTGTTTTATATTATTTGTTTATCACACTGCTCGCTTGCTTGTAAGATGATGGGGGTCTTCTGAATGAACTGTACAAGTGGGCTTTTTCTTTAGAAACATCTGTCTACTCTACCTTGCAAAGATATTTCCTGAGCCCATCCAGTGTCATCTATAGATGCTTCTTATCTTCTCCTAGAAAAAAAATGTGTTATAGCAAGTTCCTAAAAATAAGCAAAGGAACACATCTAATTGTTAAGTTGTAGCTGTTACACAGAATAGTTTTGTATTTTCAGAGGTCTCTGTTTTAAAGTGTTTGTAAGAATGAAAAAGATTTTTGCTAAAAAAATATTTTGCTTATTATGAACTAACCTTTTGCAGATGTTATATTGAAGTGCACGTGTAGAGTAGGGTGGTGCTTTTTCATTTTTTAGTTTTTTTTGGCTTGAATCAACACTCTGAATTTGAAGAACAGTCTAAGGGCCAAATGGAACAGTCTGTGGACATGGAGTGCTTCACAGAACAAGATACCATCTAGTTTGCATACGTGAAGTCTCGCACTGCACCCTCTTCGGGGAATTGAGGAAGCACCTCTGAAGCCGGTGTGCCCCATCCCCCTGTCCCTTCTGAAAAACATGAGCTCGGCCGTAGCATATGAAAGCTTGCTGTGCTATAAGAAAGCAAAACTTTCATTTTCTGAGGGTAATTTCATTTACATGGATCTGTCTTAAGTGCGATATACTTCATGGCTGACATCCCTGCTGCTCCAAAAATACAGGTCCTCTGGCCTCACGCACACGGATGACACTGTAGATGTCCCATACTGCTCTCCTTGTTCATATACATTTTTTTTAATATACTGTACTGGAATTGTATGTGTATTTTTTACTAATCTTTAGTATGTCTTCTTTTAAGATATAAAACGCCTTTACTACGCCTCAGTAACTGAAAAGAACAGGTGCAATGCAGAAAACAGAAAAGTCATGAACCTACTGTACATGTAACAGTAGATTTAATGTATATGTAGTAGTATGAAAACTCCCGGTCGATGACCTCTATATGATCTTGGTCCTAAGGTATATAATATGAATTCCTTAAAAAAACAACACAATCCCGTGAAAACACTGTAATATTCCGCGTTCCTTGTGGTCAAACCCAAACTTCAACCGGACTTCGACTACTTAACTGCTAAACGCTGGAGTTCACGCACTTCCGCCATCAGTAAGTGGGCGGGGCTTAAGACGCACCGTAAACCAATCGCGTCGGCGAAGGGGCGTCCCTATGCAAATGAGGGAAAATATCTGCCGCTGGCTGCAGCTGGCAGGGCGCGCGCTGGATGTCATCATTACCATCAGCACCGAGTCATTTCAATCGCCTGTTACAGAACGGGGAGAATTATTCGTCGTTTTTTTTTAAATTAGCAATGCGTGTACGTGTAGGAAAGTGAGTATAAGGCCGCTGACTTTTGATAAGGAGTGCCTTTCGTCAAGGGTCCGTTATGTGGCCGAGTCGCCTTTCGTTTTTGGTTTGAATCTGCCGTACCCCGCCTCCGTGAGGACACCAAGAGGGCAGCCGCGTTGCTCGGACCCGAGACCGACAGACACACCGAGGACAGGTGAGCCGGCAGCCTCGACACCTTCGACACCCCAGAGTGGGACTGGATCCAAAAGTTTCAGCATTGTGCGGATGTGCCGAATATAGTACGCACGACAGCAGTGTTGGATTGTAAAACCAGTGACACAGCCGATTTCAAGCCACTGGTGTGTTTACAGTTACGTCTTTTTAAAATGTACGTTATTGTCAACCTTTGCCTTCCAAGGTTGAAATAAACTCGACAGCGAAGGAGAGCAAACTGCGTATTTGAAATAATAAGGTTGCCACAAACGCACTTTGAGAAAGCTGTTCTGAGAGAACAGGCTGTCAGATTACTTCCTTCAGAAATGTTTGGGGCATTGAGTCAGCCTTTCATGCCTCAGTCATCCGTGTCTTACAATGTGTGCTGTTGCTTTCCTCGGGCGTGTAAGTGCGAAGGGACTAAACTACTTACTGACTGGGCCAGGGCTGTCCCTGGGGCAGCGGGGCTGAGAGTGTGTAGCTCCGACACGCACGTACTGTACCTGCGTGTAACTGTCCCACAGCTGCGAACAGGGAGGCGGGGGTTCTGAGTCATATGGAAAAAAGAGGGCTCCCCGTTTCTGTGTGAGGAAATTTAAAAATAAAAGAAAAACATAACCGGGCTCCGGCGCCTGAGATCACCGCTCTCACAAACTGACATTAATGCCCGTGCAGAATGAACTTTATTTCCAGCTCCGCGATGTAAAACGGGCGCTTCGAAGGGCCAGTGACCGTGCTAGTGGACGTTTGCAGGAATGCAAATCAGAGCCATTTCAGGGGGGGAAAAATGAGAAGTGTTTTTTTTTCTCCTCTTTCAGAGATGACAAACTGTTTTTCGATTTAGAGCGCAAGGGTGTAAGCTGCTTTCTGAAGAGCTGGTGGCGGGCGATGTCACAAACTGGCAGTAAAAGCTGGAAATTTGTATTAGTTCTATGTTGTGAATTTCTTCAATATAATTACCAAACGTCCCAATACACAGCTCCTAATCAGCATTTAAAATATGGCATTTTTAATTTTTACTTTTGTTCTTATCAATCAACAGTGTGTTGTAAGGATTAATTCAGGAATAATGTCTTAATTGTAGATATACCAAGAAAAGGGAAATATTGATACATTTACTCCTAATTAATCATTCTTTCTATTCTGAATTATAGAGGATCGTATGACAATGAGCAACATGATAACTGCACTCAGATCAGATTTTAGATCTGTGGGGTAAAACCACATTGTTTTCTATGAATTGAAAAAAGGGACTAAAATCTAACAGGATTATTTTTTGATGCACCCACATGGAGTGAAGAAAATACAGTTTTATTATTAATAACAGTACAGTGTGCAGAGAGTTCAGAGTCACAGCTGTTGATTTCTAGAGGGGTTTTGAAGCTACTGTACCAACACAAAAGGAAGTTGTAGCTAGATGTCTAAATCTGGCCTTGGATGTGTTTCTAGTTTCAGTGAAGAGAAGGGTTTCTTTTCCTTTATGAAAGGAAGACTTACCAAAAAGTAATAAAGAGACTACCCATTGCTTCTGTTTTTTAATGTTCTTTTTTTTTTTACAAATAAAAAATATAGCTGTTGACATTAAACGTCTAGTTGCAGTACATGCGACTGGACTGGATTCAGATAGCTAACACAAAACAAAGGGCGCTTGATACCATAAATACAAAAATGTAATCTCCTTCAGAGACAAAGGGGTTTGTACAAGTGAGTTGTGAGAGTTCTTTTTCAACCAAACTCATTTATCCTCTGTAAGTTGAAAAGTAAGAAAGTGAGAAACACAGTGAGAGTCATTAATTATATAAAAGCATCCGCAAGGTTTTGAGACAACTGTCTAGCTTGTTTGGTAGCTAGTAAATAATTGATCCTAGAATCTCATCCAGTCGCTTTTTTCACTGAAACCAGGATGGTGGCTTCTGCATCATGACCGAATAGCTTGTTCCAGACTCCCACAACCCTTTGGGTAAAGTAGTGCCCCCCCCTCTTCTCAGTTTTAAATGCACTTCCTCACAGTTTCCACCTGTTCCCTCTGATTCATATTTCCCCGCAGATTCTGAAGAAGGCCAGTGGGTTGACTGTGTCAGGGCCTTTGAGGGTTTTAAATACTTGTATCGGGTCCGTTCATAGTCTTCTCTGTTCAGGACTAAAAAAGTCCAGTTCATTCAGCCTGTCAGTGTAGGGCCTTCCCTTAAGAATTAGTCTTGCTGAATTTCCTTTGCACTTTCTTAATCTTCAGAATCTTTTTAGATTTTTTAATATCCCATTTTGGAAGCATCTGCAAAATTGACCTGTTTTCTAATTATTCCAGTATCCCGCTCATTGATTTCAATTAGGAAGAGCAGAGATCCCAGGACAGATACATGTTGTGCTTCACTGACTACATCACCCCACTCTTAGTGTTTCCCCCTGATCTGCACTTTCTGTTTCTTATCTATGAACCAGTTCTCTATACCAAGATGTGCATTGCTTGGAAAGTCCACCTCAGGCGATCTGAGAATTCATCTTTTTATGAGGAACTGTATCAGACGCCTTCTGAAAATCGAAATATGCCATCAAAGCCTGTGTTTCTATCCATTATTTCTGGTTCTTGTTCAGAGAACTCTATCAACTCAGCAAAGCAAGACCTGCCTTTCTTAAATGCATGCGGATTGCCCTTTAGAAACCTATAGCTATTTAGATCATCCTCCATTTTAGTTCTAGGTATCATTTCCATAACCTTACACGTAATAGAAGTAAGACTTGCTGGTCTGCACCTATTTGGTATGGTTTTGTAGCCCTTTTTACTGACAGATGAGGTGTTAGCAGTTTTCTTGTTGGTCAGTAGTACTCCTGTCCTGAGTGACTGCAGGAAGAGTTTTGTTGACTGTTTCCTAAAGTACAAGCACAACCCTGGAGGTTTTTATTTATCTTCAGTTCTTCTGTGACACGTGCGCCTCCTTAGTGATATTACTATCTCACAAGGGCGAACAACACCTACTCGGGACGTGTGTTTAGGAATGCTTACGGAGGATTTAGGGCAGAAGCCGTTGTTGGCCGAGCCCACCTGGCTGAGGGCGGACTCCCTGGCTGTAGGACGAGGAAGTCAGGCCCCCCAGCAGGGGGAGGAGGTAACCCAGGGGCGGCTGCGCAGGTGGATGGGGGCTGGAGGAGGGATGGCGAATGTGAGCCAGAGAGGGACTCGCTGTGGTCTTTAGAGTTTTCTGGGAAGTGATGTCATGCCACAAGCTCGAGCAGCAGAGGTAAAAGAGAACCGGACTGCTGTCGTCTCTCCGGATCCCTCTGTTTAAAAACTCCATTCAATGTTGATCTTTGTCTGTGCTCAGCCTGAGGTATGTCAGTGTTTTCCTTCTTGGTAAAAGCCAGAGTGAAACGGAAATCGAAGTTTGATTTAGTACACTACCCCTTCCTTGTATAACAGTTTGCTTTTTTCGTTGAGGCTGTGTTCTCTTGATTCTTACGAAGTAGTTCCATAGATGGGGCAGAAGCACAGGGGGGCACAGTGAGGCAGTGGTTAGCATTGCTGCCTCGCAGCGCTGAGGCCCCGGGTTCGATTCCAGACCCGGGGTGCGTTCTCGGTGGAGTCTGCATGTTCTCCTCATGTTCATGTGAGTTTCCTCCGGGAGCTCCTGCTTCCTCCCACGGTCCAAAGGCACACTGGTAGGATAATTGGCTTCTGGGGTGACTGGCCCACAGTGTTTGTGTCTGTGTTTGTTGCCCTGTGACGGACGGGGTCTTGTCCAGCTTGCACCCCGCCTTGTGTCCGTTGCTCTGGGGTCCCCAACATACCCTGCATTGGAAGAAGCAGCTAGAAAATGGGTGGATGGGAACGAGTCCAGTTCGGTAAACAATTGACTGGCAGAAGAAGGCAGACCGAGAGCTATGGGCCAGTCTTGCTGAGAACAAGAGAACATTGGTACATATTGTGTCCTCCTCAGCACCATCGAGGATCAAGGCGACAAACGCTTATGGAAAAGTACTCTTTCAAACCAGGCAACATTCGCTGTAAAAAAAGGGCCTTCATTAAGCTTTTCAGTAAGGGAACCATTTGAAAACTAACTTTGACCATTTTAAACTCGGCTGCAGGCTGAACTGTCCGAGATTTACAGTAGATGTTGCGTGCAATGCTGCATTTAGGAACCACACCTTTCTAATACTGACCAGTGAACGAAATGCCCTGTGATTTCATTACTTCTTAGGTCTGCTTGCCCTGCCTTCTCATTTTCTGTTGGTCAAATTCTATTAATGCAAGATCTGTCAGACTGAGTTGCATAACTGAACTGTACATCTATTTATTTTTACGCAAAAGGAAACATTGAGTTGGTTTAATATAGACCTCTTTATTGTAGTTTCACAGCTTTTGCTAATGCGCTCTTAAAATTAACTCCGGCTCATGCCATAAGCATGACTTTGGTGGTCTTGACGTTTGTCCTATTGAACATGAGGTACAACTGTACGGCTCTGCACCACTGGGCCTTGCATTCTTTAAGCATGTCATTCGACTCAAATAACTTGTGAGATCATTTAAATACAGTGGTTAAACGAGGGCCATCAAGTGGGGCCAGAACTGGGGAGGGGACATTGGGTGGGGGGGCTTGTCGTTCTTTGTTAGCTTTCTTCTCGATCTATGTCCCAGGCAGGCCACTGGGGAGTATAGATTCTACTTTACAGCTGCAAACGTGACAATACATTTAAAAACGCATGGGAAATTCACCGATATGAAAAATGTTTCCGGATACTGCATGAAAAATTCAACGTACACAAATCCGAGTTTTTTTTTATACTGTACAGTCTCCTGTCCCGCTCCTGATGCGAGGTGGTATATACACACGACGAATGTACGCGATCATCCCTTTTAACTATTTAAACACAACGGTTTTGGAGATCTGGAGTTAACTGTCGTTAGTCATTGCCTCTCTGTGTTAAAGTACAGTGGTCAGGCTCATCATCGGATGTGAGGGGCTCCTCGTCTGTCTTCCTGGGCTGAACTCGTCTCACTCTCAGCGG